CTGCCTTGTTCTCCAGAGTCATTGCGGTCTCTGGCCCAGCTGGACCAGTCCAGCTCAGTGCAGGTCGAACTGCAGGGCAGAGCAGCAATGCCAGGGGGGCACTTGCATTGAATTCCACATCTCTCAAGCAAATTTTGGCTCATGCTTCTGGGTCTTTGGTGGGAATCCTTCTGAACATCTCTCGAAAGCACACTCAGAGAGGGGCTGTTATGGACCGATGGGGCAGAGCTCAAAGCAGAGCATTTCCTGGCTTTTCCTTCTCTTGAAAGGCCAGTCCGGGGTTATTTGAGGGGTTTCTGTGCCATCCCAACCTCCCACATGTGCTGGGGTGGCTGCCCAGCCCTCAAAAGCAAGCTTTTGCTCGCCTGGGCATTGGCGCAAGGTCAGCATCCCCTGGCATGGAGGGAGCCTGCCCAGGGAAGCATGAAGCAAGACAGGCTGTCTGGGGCTGTTCCCAGGGATGCATCTAGGAATGTACTGGGTCACATTGAAAGATGTGACACTAACACTGCACTGTGGGTTCCCCCCAAGCCTCACAGTGCACTTTCACAGCTTCCCTTGTTAGCCCAAAAAGGTAGTGACCCCGTGAAGTATTGGGGGGACCGTTCTGGTAGCTGCCTCTTCCCTTGGTGCCTCTAATGCTTTCAGTACCCTTAGGCAGAGTACCTGGCATGAGATGATGTAGGGGGCATTAAGCATTAGGCAGAGCAGAGCAGGAAAATGAGGAGGATACTTCAGGCTGTGTGAGGGACTCTGAAGAGAGGGCCTCAGGTAGCCAGCTGGAAGTTACTGACAAGTGCAACAGCTGAGCTGGGGCTTTCCAAGGCCAAAGGCTCAGATGAAGCAGTTTCTGTGCCAGCAAGTCAAGATTTCCTCCATATTTCTGTAAAAGGAAGTGATCCTGTGTGGTTTCCAGGCATACATTAAGCTATTTTTATATCAGGGGAGTGACTGGAGCTCTTACCAAAGAGAAGCCCAGTTCCTCTCCCTGGCACCTGTGTACTGGGGCTCTGACCTGCCCTTCCCCAAGCCTTTAGTGGCTGAATTGGAACAGGGAAGTCAGCTTTCTGCCCTAACAAGCAATTCCTTCTTTAGGATCCTTGGAAATAATCTTTACTGACGGTGCTGTTGGTTTGGTTTTCCCTTCTTGCTTTCGTACTGTTCTCATGGTGTGCTTTTGCTTGTTGCATGTCTCCTATCACTGCAGCCAGAGGATTTGCCACGTCTCATCTGGTGCCTCGTTATTTATCTGCTGTATGGTGTGATTCAAATGAGGGAAATTATTTAGAACTGTTATTCTGGAAGGCTCTGGCTGAAATGGTTTCTGTGTCTCTCCAGCAGCTCCATGAAGATGAAACCCCAACAGCTGACCTTCACTGTCAGTGGAGAGGGGCACGTGCCTCAGGTGACAGTCGAGCGCCCGGGCCTTCGGAGTAAGAGAGGAACCCCTGTGCTGCGCTTCAGGAGGCTCCTGCTGGGGGATTCACAGACACTCCCCCTGGTCCTTCGTAACAATGGCATCATACCCACAAAGGTAAGGACCTGCTCGGGGAATGCTCTGGGCTGGGAACAAGTGCTTGTCCCATGGAGGAAAGGTCCCAAAAAATGTGATTTTCTGTCCAGTCTTTCCTCGTCAGTTGAACACAAAACAAGAAATGTGGTGGGGTGTTTTTCCCCCATCTCCCAGCTCACATTGTGTTCTCATGTGGGCGTGTGTGACGTCCCAGTTCCATGAGATTGCATTTGATAGTGGTTGACTCCATTTTAATTAAACTTAGTTGTGGTTCTGTTACATTCTGCTCGTGACTGACTGTCCTGTTTGGCTCTATGTCAGTTCTATCCATATGCTTCTGAACAACCTTTTTTCCCTGTGTGACTTCACGTAACCTTTGTGCTGGGCGCTGTGTTTGAGGTGGGGAGGTGGTCTGGGTTCCCCGTGCTGGACCAGCGGCCGTACGGGCTCAACCCCCGTGCCAGCCTCTACTCACACCAATGTCATTGTGCTCCGTGTTCCCTTTTCTCAGTTCACAGTTCATATCATGGACGACAAGGGAGTTTTCTTTATGAAAGGCAGGCAGTCCGCACTCCGTGCCTTCCACATTGCAGACATGGAAAAGGACTCCACTGGAAAAGGTAAATTCATTAACTGTGCAGCGTGATCATTCACAGAGGGAAAAGGTGTGCCCTGTTCTTGGCTTGTCTAAGCAGCAGCCACATGTTAGACATAGTTTCTTTCCTTGGTCTCTCTGTCCCCCGAGCTTTTCTTGTGGACTCCTTGCAGGGTTTCCTCCGAGCAAGTTGTAGGAAGTTTTTGTTCTTCGAGACACGGTGGGTTGAGCTGTGGGGGACTATCACCACCTCAGTGGACTGGCTGAGGTCTGTGCTGCGTGTGGGAAGGTACCAGCCTGAAGGGAGGCAGCCCTTGAGCACACAAGCCAGCCAGCAGAAGCCAAAACCACTCCTTGGCTCAGCCTTCCGTATGGTAGGAGCTGGCTGGAAGCAGATGGAATGAGGACTGGGCGTTAACCTGAGGTTAAGCCGCTTAAGTGGTGATATGTGTGATGGTGGCATAGTCTTGTGAACACAGGAAGAGGGTCTGGAACCGCTGGTGAGAGAACCTGTGCTTAGAAGCAACTGATTCCAACCTCTTATTCCTCGTATACCCCAGGGAAGTATTTCCTCTGGACAGCTCTATCACTTAACTCTGATTCCCATTGCCGTGCAGCCAAGAAGCGTCCCGAGAAGCCTTACCTGCTCCTGGAACACGGGCAATCAGCAGAGTTTGACGTGTTTTTCAAACCCACCCTGGCCCAACGTCTGAAAGGGAAGATCCGTGTGCCAGTGTCAGGCAACAGTGAGATCGACATAGAGCTGGTGGGTGAAGGCCACAATGATGACTTCACCCTTGATAACCTCCCTGGACTAGCAGAAGACAGCCAGGAGAGCAATGCTGAGGGCAATCTGGAGGACGACATCATTGAGGGTAAGAGAGGAGAGGCTGCCAAGGTAGAGCGAGGAAGAGGAAAATGTCTGATCATGTGTGTCCTCTCTCTAGCCAGGGCTGGGCTGTCACCCACTGGACTTGGGGGCCTGTGAGCTTGCCAGCCATGCACACAGAGCAGTGTGTGCTGTGCTGCTTGTCGCTGGGCACAGGCACAGCCACGGGCTTGGGGACCTCCCAGAGGGAGGGAGGGAGGCTTGGAGCAAGGAAGAGCTGAACATACACGTGTCTCTGAAAGTGAGGGGGGCGGATGGACCTCACTGCATGCTGAGGTCTCTTGCTCTCCTTCTTCACAGCTGTCAGAGCGAATCACATAAAGTTTGGGGAGTGTGCAGTCGGGGAGCTCTGCGACAAGACCTTCACAGTCACCAACCGCAGCAAGGAGGAGGTGATGTGGTTTGAGTGGCTGCTGGCAGATGCCCCGTTCCAGTTCTCCCCCAAGGTGAGCTGGGACAGCCCTGCCTTTCTCAGTTGCTCAGGCCCTTTCCTGGTATTCCTGGGAGCTGGCAGGGAGTCACCACATTCCAATGAGAGCCCGTTCCAGTGCCATGCAGGAGATGCAATCCCTGTCTTTGCTGGGGCAGGGCTGTCAGCCCAGCAGAAAAGGCTCCGCGTTCTGGGAGGTGGCACCTTCTGTTCATATTTTGCTCTGTCAAATCTCACATAAATCCTCACTGAGGTGCTGATTCCCAGCACAGCTGCTCGCCATATCAGTCCCTTTTGCTGTCAGTGCTGCCCTTGCCAGTGATTCCAGTTTGGTCTTGACTCTCTGGTTCTCCCTAGGTGGGACACCTCCAGCCTGGCTGTGCCAAGAATATCAGAGTGACCTTGAAATCCAAGGTCCCGGTCACCATCAAAAGGCCCTCTGTGAACTGTAAGGTGGCCAAGATCAAATACCAGCTGCCACCAGAGGAGGTTTACGACTGGGACGACAGAATGCGCACTGAGAAGTGGGAGGATACCACCGAGAGACTCCCGGGAGCCCGCTGGCCTTTGAAGCGGAGGGTAAGAAGCACAGCAGCAAAAGCTCACCGAGCTGCTGCAAAAGGACCTGCCGACAGCAGCAGAGCACCAGCGCTGCTGGCAGAGCAGCTCCTGCCTCCCCTGGGCATTGGCTCCAGCCGGGAGGTTCACCAGCAGTGCCTTTTGGGGAGAGGCGGATGTGCAGTGAGCGGGTGGGCTCACACCACAGGGGGAAGCCTTTGGGCAAGAGACCTTTATCCACACGCAAACTGCCGGTCTGTGCCACGAGCCGAGTGTTGCAGCCCGTGTTGAGTGGGAGGTCACGTTTGATTTTATCCCATTTGACAGTGTTAAAGTCTCTTCATCTGATTTGGTGCCTTGTCACCCACAAGGAGTTAATTCCACTGCATTCTGTCTCTTGTTCTGAAGGGGAGAGCAGCACAAGTGCTCTTGTGCGTACACCGGTGAGCTCCGAGCTCTGCCTACACCGACACCAGAGATTTTGGTTGTGGCCTCTGTATTGTGGGGGATATCTCATTATGGAGCAGCCCAGGCCCTGTGTGATAGTACGCAGGAGTCTGGAGAAGCATCATCTCCAGAAAGTCTTGCTTTTTCTGTCATTATTGCCAAGCACACTTATCTTGGTGAAGGTTCTTTCTGAGTTTCTGAATCATTGTGAGGCCTGTAAACCCAACTTCCCCAGCAGGGCATCAGCACTTGGAGACTTTCCCAGTGAGATCATTCACATCCCAAAATGCCCACAGCCAGCTCCCACCCCACATGTGCCATCTGGAGAGCACTTTCTCCTAAGTCAAGAAGGAAAAAGTTCTTTCTAGGACTAGTCAGTCTTGGGCTTCTCCATCCACAGGGCTCCAGCAGGGGAACTTAATCCTCATGTCGAGACCTGCTGGATTTATAGGGGACCAGGGAAAAGGTCAGAGGCTCTCCAGGGTTGAAGCACAGGGACTGACAGCTGGCCATAGTCCCCAGGGGTGTATTAATAGCCGTGGTGGTGACTGCTTTGATCAGAGAAACCAATGCTGTAGTACACCAGTCCAATTTTGTCATCTTTCCAGGGAAATAAACCTGAATGTCCTTTCTATGCGGCCAAGTTTGGAGGCCAGAAGGTTTCCCTGCTCAGCCTGGCTTTCTGGGCTCTGCTCAGTGATTCTTCCCTCCTCTGCCTGCAGGTGGTCAAGGCAGTCCCGGAACCACCTCACACCATCGTGGAGAGGAGCAGCCACGAGGTCGAGCTTGTCCTCAGTGCTCAGGTTGACTACGCCGAGTTCAAACTGGACACGGTCGAGGTTCAGCTGAAGCAGACTGAGCTCTTCCAGACAGAGATAAGCACGTGAGTGCTGGGCACCGTGTTGGCCCTTTCCTCCTAAACTTCCAGACTTTGAAATACTTTGTTTGGGCCACCCAGGGCAGCAATTCTGAACGTGGCAGAGTTGCCTGGGGAAGGTGGTACCAGGAGCCCACCAGACAGTGTTACTTTAGTACTTGCTTTTTATTCCTCCTCCTTGTTTTTCAGTTTCCGGATGTCCAATACAGGGAATGTAGCCCTGAAATACTGCTGGGAGGAGAATCTGGAGGAGGAAATACCATCAAAGAGTTCTGGGAGGCTGTTCTCGTCCACTCAGACACGTAAGTGTTTGGCTCTGGGTGGTGCCTGGGCCATTTCAGTTGGTAGCTGAGGGCCTGGGGAGAAGACCCTGCCACTTCACCCCAAAACATTAATTGCTTTTTCATCCCTGTCCTGGCAGGGACCTGCAGCCCGTGGAGAGGGAAGCCCAGGCTGGAGCAGGTTTTTCCCAGGTAGGACTCATGGCCCCTGTGGGGGACCCACACCGGTACAGCTCATCCGTGAGGGACTGACCCCATGGAGGAGTGACCCACGGGACAGCAGGTTGGGAAGAGCTGCTGCCCGAGGGATGGACTCACGCCGGAGAGGTCCATCAAGGACTGTCTCCCGTGGGAGGGACCCCACGGGAGCAGGGGAAGGACTCCAACTCCTCTCCCTGAGCAGCGGCAGAAACAACAACTGACCGTGACCCCCATTCCCATCCCCTCCCATCTCCCTGCTGGGGGGGAGGAGGGAGAACATGGAAGGAAAGGGGGGGGAAGGTGTTTTTAAGACTGTTTTATTTCTCACTCTTTGGCTCTTATCCTGTTAGTAATAAATATAAGTACTATCCCCACTTGGAGTCTTGTTTTGCTCGTGAAGGTGATCAGTCACTGACCTCTCCCAGCTCTTATTTCTACTCAGGAATTCTTAGCTGTTTTTTTTCTCTGTCCTCTGTCCAGTTGCAGAGGGAGAGTGAGAGAGTGGCTTTAGTGGGTACCTGGTATCTGGCCAGGGTCAACCCACTACAAGAATATAAAAAGAAGTAATTTTTTTGGCCTTGTTCTGATGCAGTTAAGGAGCTGGAAAACCAAGACTGGTGCAGGGAGGTCCAAAGCATGGCTTTGGGTCTGGATGATGGAGACATCACATTTAGAGGGAGACAGACTCTGCCATTGCTTTCCTAGACTTTGTCCCACCTTAATGGTGTTTTTCCACCCACAGCAGCATTGCTGGGAGATGTTGCAGTGGCACATCCCCCCTTCTCTGCCAGGGCAGCATCGTGGCCCTTCCCACCCCCCCATGGATTTTCCATTCCTGTGGCAGGGACTTGTCCCCACCTGATATCCGAATGGGAAATGCAACTCCTGGGGGTGGCTTTCATGGTTCCACCACAGGCTGGCACAGATTCTGATCCAGCTTTGAGAAATTGTGTGGTCTACGTGTTCTGGATAAAGCTGTCCCACCTTTGCACGTTATGACCCAAGAGAGTTTCGGTGGCCAGTTCGTGTATCAAAAGCACTCAGTACTAAAATGTACCAAGTTGCACCTGTGGACAAATCTGCACGAGCTCAATGCCCTGCGTACCCACACAGGCTTTTCTGTCTCGAATCCTGCTCATTGCGTGCCTGAGACTGGATTTATTTCAGCAGCTAAATGGTTCACTGGAGGACTAATTGGCTCTGAGAGCTCCAGTCCTTTGTGACAGATTATTAACCCTTCCCCCTTCATTATAAAAACATGAACTGTAGAGAAATCAAATACCACAGGGCCCCTGCGCCGAGCCCGTCAGTGCTCCCGGCTCGGTGTTCAGCACAGAAAGTCCCTTTTATATTTGGGAAGCGGAGGGAGAAAATTCTGGAAGCGCGAGAACGCGGCGATAGCTGGGATGAACTGGGAGCCCTTAGGAAAGGACTGGGAGGTACTGGGATAAACTGGGAGCCCCGAGGAAGGAACCGGGGCTCTCCCGCCATTTGCGTAGCGCTGAGGGCAGGGCGCTTACGCCATTTGCGTAGCCTAACGCAGTTTACGTAGCGCCCCTCTCTTGCCGTTACCGGCGCCCCCTTACGCCGTTTGCGTAGGGCTGTGAGCAACGGCAGCGCCCCTTACGCCGTTTGCGTAGGGCTGTGGGCAGCGGCGTTAGGAGGGGACTGGGATGGACTGGGAGCCCTTAGGGAGGGACTGGGACAAAGTGGGAGCCCTTTGGAGAGGACTGGGATGAAGTGGGAAAGGTCCGCGAGCCCTTAGGAAGCCACCATGGCCCTCCCGTCACTTGCGTAGTGCTGAGGGCAGGGCTCTTGCGCCTTTTGCGTAGCTTTACGCAACTGACGTAACTCGCCGATTGCCATTACCGGCGCCCTCCTTACGCTGTTTCCGTAGCGCCGCAGGATTGCTGGCCCCCTTACGCAATTTGCGTAGCGCCGCTCCATTGCCGGGGGTGTCCAAAAGCTCCTCCAAAAGTCAGTTTATGGCTTTGCAGAGGGCTCTCGGGAGTCACCGAGGGGCTGAATGTAAAGAGAGAAAAATTAAATCTTTAGGGGGAAAAAAACATATAACAATTGCATGTCTGTGTTCCCGAGGAGCCGTGGGTGTTTTTAGGCAGCTGCCTGCAGAGGCCATCGCCGTTTCGTGAGGCGGCATTAATGCAGCGGGAGGAGACTTGTTCTGCTGTTCACAGAAATTCGGATTTTAAGGTTTTCCTCCTTGGTTTGAAGCTTCTTCATTCTTCCTTTGCTCTCTTTCAGAGCAAAGGTTTTAATTTTTAAACTTAAGGGGGAAAAAGTATTAACAACAAGTGAGGAAAACTAGGGGGGAAAGGGAAAAGTTCTTCTGAAAGGATTACAATGTGCAAGCAAAATCAGTTCTCTCTCCAGGAGACAAAAAATATTAGAGGTGTAAATTGGCTCCAAAAATGCCCCCAGGGGCATAGGGAGGATAATCAGGATGACAGCGTGGCTGAGCACTCAGCATCCGGGGCATGGCCCAGGTGTGCAGGGAAAATGCAGCTCATCAGGCATGTGTTAAACAGAGAATTTGTTTCTGGTATAAAAAGATGCCTGACTGCTCTGTGCACACACCAAACCAGCCCTTTGTGACTTGCACGGGCCGACTTGACTTCCAGGTTTTGAGACACTAGTTTTGATCTAAAAGCCCAGCCTATTGCTAGTGCTGCAGAACTGTTTGTTTGATGCAAGGAGAAAACAGGGATTGTGGCAGGAGCGAGGTCAGGCAGATCCCCTTCGGTGCAAAACTCCTGGAGCGAGCTGCAGCGTTTCTGTTAAGGGCCTTCTGTGTTGGAGTTGACTTCTTCCACTCCGGGACCTTTCACTTGCAAAGTACATTATGGGGCTCCTTTGTTTAACAAGTCTCTGGGAGCTGCGAGAGAGAGAATTAATGCTGGCATTTGGAAAGACAAGTGATAGTGCTGCATTGGATTTGGGTTTCATGTCATTATTTTCTGGTTCTGGAGTCAGAAAAAGCTGCTCATTTACTTTTCATGCAGCTGTACTGTTTTTTCCTGACTTCTCGAGGAGGCAGAGCTGATGAAATCGTGCTGTAGGAGACAGTTTCTCAGTTAAATGCATTTTTTTTTGACCTATTTCCTTCCACTTGAGTCTAACATTTGGTCTCTTCATAGCCAATATTCTGTTTTATGGAAAGGCTTTAAAGTTTTCCTGAAGGAGATGAGTAAAAGGTGAAGTACCCAAGACAACCTAAATTTATATTATTCCTTTTGCCATTATTATTAAAAATAGGAAAGAAGAAGTAGTGTTGGGGAAAACACAGGGAATGCTGATGCAATTATACCTACATGTGCAAAGCTACGTGCTTGCTTTTACTCTTGAAATTTAGACCTCTGCTTTCCTTCTACAGACTGGGACAGTTCATTTCAGTTGCATTTTGCAACTACTGACATACATGTTCATTCCTAAATTCACTTCATATGCTTCCAAATCCTTAGGACAACATTCAGTTTAGGCACACCAAGAAAAACCTGGAGTGATTCCACCCACCTAAATGTAATTACTCAGTGCTGAATTAAAGGCACAGGTGTGTAACTTAAGACCCATGTGTTTGGAGTAACAAGGAGAGATCAAAATCTCAGCTTTTGTCATTAAATTCAATGTTTCTAGACCTTAATCCAAGACACATTTGTAGAGAGAGGTGATAGCTTCTTTTTAGAGGCATTACTATTATTAAACAGTGTTTTCTTGGACTGCTCACATTTTCTCCCAGCTCACCGTCTAACACTAATCTGTGACTAAATATTAAAAAAAAAGTGAGCTGTGAATGGTTTTAAGCTGAGACAAGATTCTCACTGTTAATGGCTTGGTCAGAGAGAGAGAGTATTTGTTTCAGCATGTAAATCTCTTTCCTGCAACGCTTAAAGCTGCTGATTCTGGAGTTTAGGAGGCCAGCGTGTCCAGAGCTGCTCTAGTCCCTGGGCTGATGAGCTCTCCCAGCTGGGTAAAGCTCTGTCAGGAGCCAGTTTGTAGTGAATTGACTGCAGGCAGAAAATATAAAAGCTCATAGGAAACATGAGCCTGACTCAGGAGCTATTTCTGTTCAGGTGACATTCTAATCCAAGCGTGTGGTGAATCATTACAGCAAAAATTGATTGGACCCCATATCAAACGAGTATTGATAAATATGAAGAAGTTTGTTTTGAGTTAGTAATATAAGGGGTCTTTTATATATATGGTGCATTACAACGGGGGGATTCAGGGCTTTGTCAGACTGTCTATAAAAATTAAAAAAATACATGTTTGTATAAAAATCTCCGTTCTATACTTGTGGCTTTGAAGGCCTGGGCTGTTTTTCTTTTCCTTCTGGAGTAGCTGCGATTCATCTCGTTCGAGTGGAGTGAATTCATCCCGTTTCCGAGGCCAACGGGAGGAGCGAGCGGGCGGCCATGTTGTGCGGGGGGCGGGGAGGAAGGAGCCGAGATGGCGGCGGCTCCCTCACACACACGGCACAGGATGGCCGGGGAGCAGCGGCAGCTCCCGCACGGCTCCCGGGCGCGCTCCCCGCCGCTCGCTCGGGGGACACCCGGCCGGATCCCCGGGTGCAGCGCTCGAGGGCCGAGTCGGGCCCGGCACCCTGGGGGCGAGCGGGGCTGCCGAGAGGGGCTGGGACGGGCGGGCAGCAATGGCGCCGGGACTGCGAGCGCTGCCCGCGCCGCTCCCTCGCCGGGCGGGCGCGGGGCCGCCCTTGGCCGCGGGAAGGGCGAGCATCGGAGCAGCGCCCCGTCCTCGGGGCCCCCGGTGCCGGCCAGCGGGCTGCTCTTCGCCAGGTGAGTGCCGGGGTCTCCGCGCTCCTCCTTGTCCTTTGTCCTGGGGAGGGAAAACAAAATGTCCTCGGAGCCGGGAGGGGAAGGGGGCGCTGCCTCTGCCGGCCCCCCCTGCCACCCCTCGCCGCTCGCTGAGGGGACCCGCGGGAACTGTCGGGGCCCCCCGGCCGTGTCCTGCCCGTGGGGGGTGAGGGGGAGCGGCGGGACCGGGGGAGCCCCGGTGCCCCTCGGCGGCTGCGGCGCTGCCGTCCCGGCCCTGCAGCACCCGCGGGGGCCGCCCGGCCCGGCCCCGATGCAGCACCGAGGGGGCAGCGGCGGGTTTTGGGTCCCCGGTGCGGCCCCGGGCACAGGGGGGGCACTCTGGGAAGCAAAGGCAGTTACTTAAATATGAGTTACAGGATAAGGAAACGGATGAGTTTGTGTGTTACGTGGAAAGCTTTTAAAAACGTTTCTGGGGTGTCAGGTTTGTTTTTAGTGTTCAGTTTATGCGTTTTTCAGAGACCTCACAGTCATTTCTCTTTCTGGAGCATTTTTTATCTTCTTTTCGGTGCCTAATAATTTTAGAAGTTGTAGAAGACCTTTTGCAAGACTTTCTAAAAATGCAAGTTTAAATGGAATGCCTGACGTTTGTTATGTGTTAGCTGGCATTCAGCAATTACCACTGTAAGGGCAAAATTGGAATTCTGAATGTATGAAAAGTCTCGAGTTTCTATAAGTTTCGAATAATAGTTTATTATCTGGTAAAAGCAGCAGCCGGCTGGGTGACAGAAATGGGACCAGTTTCCCAAATCTGCACCCCCCTACTACAGGGTACATTTAGTATTTATCTTAGCTACTTCATGCATATTAATTATATCATAGACATATACATTCTACAGGTTTTTGCTAAGTATTTAATAGATGGGTTTTCTTACAGCTAAAGCTAAAGGGTTATCTCTACAACCAGTCATAATTCCTGCATTCTTGGACGAACAGGCGCCTAAAGATTTAAAGTTCTACTATATTTTATTCTTAGGATAGTAAGGAGGTTTTAGGCCTCTTGACCTTGTGAGGGTCTGTTTTATTTCTTTATGGGGGTGTAATTAAGTTTTACAATCCGTTTGTTTTATTTTGATGTAACCACCCATTTGTTTCACGAATCACGGTTATTTATATATCACAAAAAGTCACTGTGATAGAGGAAGAGGTAAATATTAAGAGCTTTAGTTTTAGTTGGAGGCTGTGTTTAGCCATATTTGTTGGATTTCTATGGTGTACACTTGAGCAAGGTTATAAAACTCCGTGCAGGTTTTAAACATTGCAGTTGGAGGTAAATCTGGATTATTCAATACTTCCTCTGCAAATGTGAATCTGTCATTACAACAATATAAGTTTGCCCTTTTTTGGAAATAGAAATACAGGTTTTAGCAACTGCTGGACTTCTCCACCTTTATGCAAAATGTTCTGTCTTTATTTTAGATTTGGATTATGGTGGTTTTCTAACCCAGCCACAGTTCTGCAGTATAGAACAGGTTCTGGCATACACACTGTGCCCTAAAGGAAGTTCTGGCTGTAGGTGGGTGTCTGCTGGATTTGTCTTTTCTTAAAGATGTTATGGGATTTTTTTTTTTTTGATAGCTTTGAGTGGTTTCTTTAAACAACTGAAAATAAAATAGCAAGTAATTGTCTCAAAAAATTAATTCCTCTTAATTCGTAGTGTGTTTTGTTTAACAGTTCTGCTTTTTTATATTCAAGGTGTAGGAATTGGAATTTATATTTGGATACCTTTTAATTTAGCAAGGAATGTTTTTTAAAATTGTGTTTTTACCCAATGATTCCAGTCTTCTTCTTAAGTATGAAGTAGTGGGGATGATAAATATAACTGCTGTAAAATAAAATACCATTTTTGCCTTCACAAAAGGCAAGAAAAGTTGGCTGGAGGTAGTGCAAATATAGTGTTCCTTTTGTTAAAGACCCTGGTTTGGGATCTGACGAAAGGTTAAAGAAGCTGAAAGCTTTAAAACTGTTTTCTAAAGGGCAAAAAGATGCATTTTTGGGGAAGATCAAGCAAGGTAGGACTTACAATTCAGAGAAGCTGATGACAGAAGCCATTTTGAAATAACTTTGCTGTCCCTAAAGGTTTTATTTAATTTTGCATAGCCTGGTTCTAAAGACTTTAATGTGGAAAAAAAAGCACAAGGGGTGAGGGGTATTGGGTGATAAGTTACTCAATAAAAAAGGTTAAGTTTGCATTTGATCTCTAAGTCTTTCAAAATTAAAGTAATGGAAGACAGAAGAGCAGATTGCAGTTAGTCATGAGAAGCACAGGTCGTGTGTGTTGTGTGTCAGTCACTGTCATCTCCAGTGTTTTATTTCAGCCAAGAATGTCCTTTTATTTTTAGAATTGTAAAGATACAGTTACTGCTCTCATAAGTTTTCTTGACTTAATAATTACCTAAAGATCAATACATTTCAGGCATGTGACTTGTTCTGCTTTTCTAAAGCAAAATGTTGAAAATTTCCATCCTTTTTTTTTTTTCCAGGTAGAATGCCATGAACAATTCCTTATTGTCTGAGTGGCTTCAGAGGAAACGTTCATGAGTTATTTTCTCAGGTAGGAGTGGCTGTAACTTGTGGTAGTATGTTCATTTCCTTGTTATTTTTTTATCTTGAAATTTGCCTTTTTGCTACTGTGCAGATGGTAAGAAAAGAAATCTGATTTTTTATGTGGAGGGGATACATTTTGTAAAGTATCTGGACTTTTAGAAAGCTTTTTTATTTTTTTTTTTTGCAGATGCAGGTAGACTGTCTTCAAATACTGTCATGTTTCTGTGCTCCTTCTGTCTAAATTTGAGTTTCCCCAGCCTGCCTGGTTAGGTGTTCCTCAACCAGACGACAGGAGGAGACGGCAGAGAGAGACCGGGCTCACGCAGGGCTGAGCAGCGAGTCAGGGGCTCTGCGCCTCAGGGCTCTGGCCTGTGCTGCAAACTCCTCTCACTTCTGCCTTGGAACCAGTGGAGGAGCACCTGGAGCACACCTGGGTGTTCCAAGGACAGAGACTCCCTGACTCACCATGGCAGACAGGCAGGAGGAGGCGCGGAAGGGAGGGAGCCAGGTGAGAGCAAAGTGCCCCTCCCGCAGCCTGGCAGAGGGGCTGTCAGGGTGGGCAGCACAGGTGCCATGCCCGGGGCCACTGTCTCTCTCCCTCCAGCATGCCTGCTGTGTCAGTAATCAGAGCCTGACCCGGACATCTGTGGAGAAAACCTTCACATAAATGGCTTCTGTGCCCACCAGTTCTGCCTGGTGAGTTGCTTCATGGGCTCTCTCCATTTTCTGACAGGCAGTCCCTGCCACTCTCTCCCCATCAGTGAGTGTCATTCTCCTGCAGTTTTTTACCAGCCACCTTCTTTACCACCCGGCTGATCGAGTAGGAATCTGTGTTTTCCTCCCAAGGAATATCCCAGATGTAGTCTCCCGGGCGGCACAGAAGGTGAAAAAAGTAGGGAAATTTGGGCCAGGCGAGGTTTGCTGGAGCTCAACCCAGACCCCAAGCAAGAAAGCCCAGCCCTTCCAACCAGCTCTGGGACAAGGAGGAGGCCCTGAGGCTGCTGCTGATGGGGCTGCTCTGCTCTTTCCAGAGCTGCTGCATCTGTGGCCAGAGCGGGGCCACCATCCCCTGCTGTGATGGCACAGCGGGAAGGCAGGGACACCCTGCACCTGCCCGATTCCAGGACAGAGGGAGCTCATCAGGTTTCTTTTCCCATCAGGCCACCATCATGGGAGGGCTTTAATGCATTGGCCGAGCTAGAAGAGACACACAGGCACTGGGATGCCAGTGAGTGCCTTTGTCCAGGAGGCAGGCAGGAGGCAGAGGAGGAGGGGTAAGTTGCCAAAGCTGCACCCCAGGGCTCTGCCGGGCTTGAAGCAGAAGGACCCAGGAGAAGAGCTCAGCACCTCCATGAACTCGTTTGCTTCCCCAGGCCCTGGGAACTGCTCCTGTGCTCCTCCTGTGCTGCCGAGGGCACCCACAGGCACTGCTCTGGCCTGGGGACAGCAGAACCAGATGGGAATGTGATGGCTGTGCAGTCCCGGGCACAGGGAAAAGGCAACGCACCCTGGTGATCCTGGCAGCTGCTGCCCCTGGGCCTGGCAATGGGTGTCCAGGGTTGGCTTGGCTGAGCTTGTCTGCTCCAGGAGGGCTGGGGGCACTGCTCTGGCCTATCTTGTCCCAGGTCTGGAACGATCTTGTCCCTCCTGCTTCCCCTTACAGCCTCCAGTTAAGACCCAGAGCATGTTGCTCTCATGAAGGAATCTTCTGACGACTCGAGAGAATACGAGACCATCACCCCCAGTAAGAGCAAACTCCATAGCAACCAACAGGCAACATCGGAGGAGACTCTGGAATCCCCCTCCCAGGAGACGAGCAGCTCCAGCCCTGACAGTCAGGTAACATCGGGGTCACCCCACAGCAGCTTCCCAGAAACTGAGGACAGCAGCTGCTCCAGCAGTCGGGGGCCTGAATGCAGGCGAAACTGCTCCCACCAGCAGGGTGAGACCCCCAGTTCATCCAGGTGCCATGCCCGGGGCCACTGTCTCCCTCCCTCCAGCATGCCTGCTGTGTCAGCAATCAGAGGCTGACCCGCACATCTTGGGCGGAAAAACTCCAGATAAATGGTTTCTGTGCCCACCAGTTCTGCCCTCCCAACAGCGAAACCAGTCCCGCCAGCCAACGGGACTGGTCAATGCAACAGGAGCCACTGGGAGGGACTGGGAGGGACTGGGTGTCATTATCTAGTTAACTAAACCAAGTCCCTTCACTATGAACCTTAGACAAGGTAAAAGGGAGGTAACTTGGTTTATGTCTTTACAGGGGCCCAATTAAGTTTTACGATTTCTTTTTCTTTTCTCTCTCCGGGTTGTGTTGACCTCAGGCTGTTTTCTTTTTATGGACCTCAAATCGTTCTCCCTTTTACCTTGTCTAAAATTTATAGTGAAGGGACTTGGTTTAGTTAACTAGATAATGACACCTTTCTGCAAAGTTGATAACTGTGCAGATAACAAGCACCCATCTGGCAGTGTCTGACCTGACAATGGGTAATGTTTTTGCTGTTGTGTAAGGAATGTATATATTTATAGAGAGAATAAATAGAGAACAAGTGTCTCCTTTCAACCCCTCCCTGATCCCCCAGTGCTGAATTTGCTTTTCTCAGATAATAAATTCTGGTTGGAAACCACCCGGCTCTGGGTTTCTGTTCCTGACAAGTGTGGATCTGAAATATTATATCAATAATTTATTTATCTCAATATACTTTTATGTAAATTATTTATTTATTTATTTATTTATTTATATACACGTATTATACATTTGTATATATATTATTGATATAAATTATATATCAATATATATAAATACATAAATACATATTTATGTATTAATTTCTATACGTCATTTATGTATTTAAATGTTTTATTTATTTTATATACATTTTATATACATTTTATATACATTTTATATACATTTTATATACATTTTATATACATTTTATATACTTACATATGTTATTGATATATATTATATATCAATATATTTATATATTGATATATAAAAACATATATATAAATGTATATATTCTTTATATATTTGAATATTTATTTTATATATATTTTATATATCTATATATTATTGATATATATTATATATCAATACATTATATATAAATATATAATTAATATATTAGTATATATTATTGATATATACCATATATCAATATATTATATAAAAATATATAAAAACATATATTAATATATATAAATATTAATAACCGGGACTGGGGAGAACTGGAAGCTTTCCTGGGATCACTGGGAGCAGCCGGCTGGAGGCAGAGTGACAGCAGGGACAGGGGGGACACACGACCCCCCCAAAATCCTCACGGGGATGGGGGGGGTCCAGGCTGGGCCCGAGGCCCCGGGGAGGGGCTGCGGCCGCCGGCGGCTCAGGAGCTCTGTGGGGAGAGAAAAGGGGGGGACACCGGGGTGGGGGGTCCCCGGGGGGGCACAGACGCTCTGGGGGGACACACGACCCCCTGGGACCCCCCTCACCTTCTGGCGCAGGTAGAAGCCGAGCCCCAGCGCCAGGGAGACGAAGGCCAAGAGGAAGCCCCGGCCCCTCCTCCGGAGCAATTCCTCAGGCTGATGGAGCCCGGCAGGGCCGGGGCCGCCGGCGGTGTCCGATCCCGGCAGGAAGCGGGGAGGGCCCGGCGGGGTCTGATAGAAATAAATCAAGGCAGAGCTCTCTCTTTCTTTTCCCCCCTGGGCAGTGACCATCAAGAGCTGTCCCTGCTTCCCAGCAGAAGCTGCACACACTTCAACAAAGTCTGTGGAAGAATCTGCTCTGTCAAAGTTGGCCCTGGGCTTTTATGCTTATCCAGGGATGGATCAGCAGTCACATATTCCCAGGCCAGTGAGCAGCTGACCTGTCAAACTCTGCTTCCAAAAGCAGGATGTGTGTTGGAAGGTTGGGGAACCAGGCTGGGTTGGGCCCAATTCAACACTAAACCAAGCCCTTGGCACCAGCAGTAACTCCCCACAGAGAGCTGGCAGTGCTTGCATTCTCCCATCAGATTCTTTGCCAGGTAGAACATCCTGCTACAAGGGGTCTGTTACTACCCACCCCAGAAAGGGGTTGGGAGTAACCCAGGTTCTTATTAATAAATCCCTTGGGGTGGATTAAAGCGAAACGACACTGAATAATCGGTGTTTGAAAACATATGTATGTAGGGTTTATTTTAGAACAATGTTGTTTCAAAGGTAAACAGGTATGTTGCCATTTTGAGTGTTATCATCTCTATCTCTCATCTACAGCAACATGGCATAAAGAGAACCTTTAGGGAAAATGCATAAGGGAAAGGCAGGATAAGGGTAAGGGAGAGTATGGATTCCACAGTGTGTTTGGAGCTGCATCAGCTGTCAGTCCAAGATGGGCCATGTCAGAACTGGTGAGGTTGGGGGTGAGGAGCGAGGTTGATCATCCAGGGTCAGTGTGGATCTCCTGAGGAGACACTCAGCATCAAGATCACTTGGAGAACACCTCTATCACCTCTTCTCTGAACTACAAAATATCCATAATTGAATTAAAACAAAAAAAGTACAAATACTGAAGACTTGTTTTGAAATTACCTTGAAGACAATTAAAGGAAGACAAAGAGATCCTGAGGGATTTCAGGATTTTAATGAGCCCCAGGGTGTGTTTGCAGCCCAGCCCATGATCCTGAGGTAGTGAGAGAAGATTTGCAGCTGCTGAAGAAGTCAGAAGCCAAACTGCAAGTGCCTTGAAGCATTGCTGGGCCCCACTGAGGGCAGGCACTGCCAAAGCCTCCCCAGGGACTCCTTGGAGCAGCTCCTTGGAGGCCAGGAGTGCAGGCAGACAGAGGCTCTGGGCAGGCCCCTGCAATGCTGAGCAAAGCCTGCCTTGGTTTTGTGGAGCACAAAGGCCAAGGGCTGAGCCCCAGGCCCTGGCCCAGCAGATCCTGTCCCTCCCGGCTGGCTCAGGGCTGTTTGGGGGCACTGGGATGGGAGGGGGAGGAACAACAAAGGGCCAAAACTGGGCAACCCCTGCCAGGCTGCTGAGGGAGGGGCGAGGCAGAACCCAAGGGCAGAACCTGCCAGGAAAGTTGGTTGTGGTGGCCTGAGTGGCAGAGGCAGCTGCCAGAGGCAAGGGGACAAAGGCCTGGGTGCCTTTGGGCCTTGCAGCCTTGGCCATCTCTCCTGCAGGCTGTCCTGCCCTGGCCCTGCTGCTGCTCTGGCCTTGCAGGCTGCACACACCCCTCCTGCTTTCCCACCCCCTCCCATCATACTTCCCACTGATACAGTCGGTTACCATGGCAACCACCATACATTTCCATTGCTATCGTCATTTACCATGGAAACCATCATACATTCTTATTGCTATGGTTGGTTACCATGGCAACCATAAGACATTCCCAATGCTATGGTCGGTTACCATGGCAACCAGCATACAGTCACGTTGCTATGGTCGGTTACCATGGCAACCATCTTTACGGTCCTGTTTCTACAGTCAGTTACCATTGCAACAACCATACATTCTCGTGGCTACGGTCAGTTACCATGGCAACCATCATACATTCCCAATGCTATGGTCAGTTACCATGGCAACCATCATACATTCCCATTGCTATGGTCAGTTACCATGGCAACCATCATACATTCCCATTGCTATGGTCAGTTACCATGGCAACCATCATACATTCCCATTGCTATGGTTGGTTACCATGGCAGCCATCATTCATTCCTGTTGCTACGGTCAGTTACCATGGCAAACATCATACAGTTGTGTTGGAACGGTCGGTTACCATGGCAACAAGCATACCTCCCACTGGTACACTCGGTTACTATGGCAACCACCATACATTCCAGTTTCTACGGCCAGTTACTACGGCAACCAGCATAGATTCAAATTGCTACAGCTAGCTACCATGGCAACCATCCCACTGCTATGGTCGGTTACCATGGCAATCACCATACCTCCCACTGGTGCAGTCGGTTACCATGTCAAGCACCATACATTCCCGTTTCTACAGTCAGTTACCATGGCAACCATCATACATTCCCATTGCCATGGGAGGTTACCATGGCAACCACCACACATTCCCATTGCAACAGTCAGTTACCATGGCAACCATCACACATTCCCATTGCAATGGTCAGTTACCATAGCAACCATCATACATTCCTATCGCTACAGTCGGTTACTATGGAAACCATCATACATTCTTATTGCTCTGGTCGCTTACCATGGCAACCACCATACATTCTAATTGCCACGGCTGGTTACCATGGCAACCACCACCACACACTCCCATTGCTACAGTCGGTTACTATAGCAACCATCATACATTCCCATTGCGATGGTCAGTTACCATGGCAACAATCAACAGTTGCGTTGCTACAGTCACTTACCATGGCAACCATCGTACATTCCCATCACTACAGTCACTTACTATGGGAACCTCTTGGTTCCCCTTGGACAGAAGCAGATGCAGATGAGCCTCCCTGTTGTCCACCAGCCTGGCAGCTGTGCTCTAAAGGCCTGTGGCCCAAGGGCTGTCTTCACCAAGACCCTGCACCAACCTCTGGGACTCTTTCCATCCGCTCGTGCTGCCTTTCCAGTGAATTCCAGGGTTATCAAAGCCAACTGGAATGGGCTCTTTGTCTCACTCCACAATGTCACCCAAACCACTCTCTCCTCTCACCCTCACCCACAAAAGTTCACCCAGTTTGTTCATCCCCTAGAGCAGCTCCAC